GCACCAAGGCCGGTCCTTTATTGGATTGAGATTCGGATATGGTTATTATGTTATTGTTTGATGTGTCTGCATCCTGGTAGTTAGGATGGTACATGCTAGGAGACCTTGTTAAGGTCAGTTTTCCGATATACAGAGTGATGCTATGCTAGTGACCGGTTAGGTCGGTAACCCGGTTAGGGTAATGATATGCTATGTGATCTGCTTGCTCGGTTTGTTGACTATGACTGTTATATGAATGTATGTTTTGTGCACATGGTTGTTTGGACTGGAGATGGGTTGAGGCGGGTCCTGCTTTGTGCTGTAGGCCAAGATACCCAGGGCGGACCGGTTGTTTCGAAGGCCCAGCGAGCGGTCCGGATAGGCTGTAGGCCCCACGAGGGCGGACCAGACGTGCCGAGGCTCAGAGAGTGGACCAGGCCAACTGAAGGCCCGATGCGGGCGGACCAGTCACACTGTAGACTCAGAGAGTGGACCAGGTGGGTTGAAGGCCCGATGCGGGCGGACCAACCCCACTGTAGACTCGAAGGACATGACTAGACCTGGAGGATGGATCCGATGGACTGAAGGCCCGATACGGCGGACCAGTCACACAGTAGACCTGATATGCATGGCTGTTCTATGTTCTGTTATGTTATGTATGTTTTGTATGTTTTGGACCGGAAGGTCGCAGTCTGGAAGCACGTATGCGTGGTTGGTATTTTGGGGGTATCTCACTAAGCTTTCGGGCTTACAGTTGTGGTTTAATGTTTTTCAGGTTCTTCAGGAGACCGTGGCAAGGTGAAGGCGCGATCGTATCGCTCCTCATGATTTTGTAGCAATGTGATTCTGGGAATACTCTAATAATTTGTATTGAAAACCTTTTTGTAAACATTTTAATGAAAATCGGGCTGTTTTGAAAAATTTAAATTTGGTTGTATATTTCGGATGTTACAAATATATACAATCTCATCAAATTATACATTCAAAATCCTATAAAGGTAGGCATGAGGAAGTTCTCATGGTTTGGTCCCTTTGAAACATTTCACAACCTTTCCTATTTATAAAAGAGGAAACATTCTCTTGTTACTCTAACCATCGATGTGGGATGAAGACATTGTAATAAAACACAATTTCTTGTTTATAGAACATTATTTAAATTATTTATGATATTATTGTAAAGAAATTGAAAAGTTATGGGAGTTTCAAATGAATGTGGTGAAAGGAAGCTAAAAAAAAGGTTTCAAATTCATGAGATTCAAGAAAAAATATTAGTTTTATAAGTATATATATATATATATATATATATATATATATATATATATATATATATATATATATATATATATATATATATTAAAACTTTGTTACATTCCTTTTATAACATTTAATTTTACTAAAAATATAGATAAATTTTGAAAATGTGTCTATCTTACAAATAAAGATTTACTAAATCGTTTGAAAAAGATGAAACGCTATAAAAAAAAAACAAATGTAAAATATAAATGGTTGGCTAAAAAACAACTTTTTTATCATATAAACATCTTAATTAAATTTTAAAATATTTTAATTATATAGACATCTTGATTAAGTTTTAAAATATTTTTATTGGTTAAAATTTATTTCTTATTTTTATTTTATTTAACGCTGAAGTTTTTAATTATATCGTGATTTGCAACACCTCTTCAATTATTTTATGGATCTGCCGGTGCTTTGAGCCTTTGACCAAAATATTCCCTTGAAACTAGACACTACAACATATCATACTGCTAATTATTTAATGTTATTCTCCGTGTAAAAAGTACATTTTAATGTTGAATTGAAGACCCCTAGAACATTTTATTGGTCGCATGTTGGTAAAGAAATCCAAATAAGTTGTTACTATTAACTTATTATATGTCTTTCATAAATAAAAAAAATAACGTATATTATCCTTACAACTTAAAACTTACAAGTCTCAAATGCTTAAAAACCCAATTGAGCAAATTTCGCAACAAAGGTTTTAATACACCAAACTCACATCATCACCTTAAAATCAGTGATCAAACACCTAAAATCATAAATTTAAAATCTTCTAGGTGTCATAAAAAACACACATACACAAATCTTTTATCATTCATATACATGTACCCACCAACCCCATTATAATTAAATATCTTCCAACAAAAAAAATCCATTCCAAGCAAACATGTACCCACAACAATTTCATCTTTCTTAACTTCAAAATTCTAAATTTCGAGCATCGCAATCCCACCCTTCCTAAAATGACGACAAATTGGTACTGGAATCATAATAAAACCATTCGAAAAGTAAAACCAACATGAAGACAAAAAATATCCTATGAGTTAGACAAATGAATCGATTACCGTGATATTTTTATCCAAGAGGAATGTAATACCACTTCCAATCAAAGATGGGAAAAGGGCGTTTGTCGACTATGTCAATGTTTGCGGAAAATGACGTGAGTTAAGATCTAGTTGCACCAACTTTAACGACATGTTCAACAATATTATGAACATACATAAAGGTAGATGAAACGATTTCAATATTTTAAATACCGTGATTCAACAATATCAAACCACCTACGGCGGTAAAGCATTTAGCCACCAAAAGATTGGCTAGTTATGCGAGTGGGTCCAAAATGCATGCTTAATTTGGAAGTGCTTTCAAAATCAATCGACTCAGATAAACAGTTGAAAATATCAAAGTCAAATGACTACATAAATATGCCAAATGCGGGTACAATAATTGATCTCAATGAGTGTCCACTGAAGTATCTTTTCGATGGCCGGTAAGAAGGGATAAAGGAAAACAAACATCGTTGTTGAAAAATATGTAGTCGAATAGAATGTCACTTAACACTTCTGGAAAAGCTCTAGGGATATCTTTAATTGCTAAAGAAAAAAATAGAGTATAGAAATAAAGCGAGACGGAGATACTAAATGTTTTATGATATGCAAATTTTGAATATGACGCAAACCGTAGAAAATCTGTGAAAATATAACAATATGTAATAATATTTTTAGATTAAGGTAGTTTTATTTAAGTTTGATGTAATTTTTATTTACTTTTATTAGTGTAATTTTTATTGTTTTCACTAATGAAAATTTTATTTAACTTTGGAAATGTAATTTTTTATATAAATATTGTATTTAACTAATAAAAAACAAAATGACAGAGATAATGTAAAGTGATAGGTATTTGGGTACTTGGTGTGGAAGTGAATATAATATGACACTAAAGTGATAATATTTTTTGGAATTATGTGTATAGGTAAGGTTTTAAATAATGTTAGAATTGATTCTACGACAATATCAAACATTAAGTTTTTACAAGTGATGAGGAATCACGTTGTTTGTAAGACGCTTAAGACGATAATTTTATATATAATTATTAATTCGATATGTATTTTTTACTATTATTTATTTTTATATAAATATATGAATTAAAATAATATTTTATTAAAACATGACGTCAAATATAAGTTTTAAAGTCATGATGCGTCATGACAACAATTACAAAATTTTTAAACTTTGATTATGAGTATACTTATAATAGCTTAACCAAAAAGCTCATTAGATGTTTTTAAGACATTTTTTTTAATCTCTCTTTTTTCTTATTAATTTTTTATTTATAAATTACTTTCCTCCTAAGACCCTCTTTGACCATACTTTATATTTTAAATGAAAAAATAATAATGATTCATCTCTAATTTCACCCTATTTTTCATTTTATTTTTTACATCAAAAAGAATATTATCAATTTTCTCCATTTTTTTTATATATTTTATTTTTTTTAATTATATATATATATATGTTTTAATATTATTATTATTTTATTATTTTCTTATTTTTTTTCTACATTTTCATTAACACACCTACAATTTAAAAAGGTTTTACAAGTTGTCTAAATTTTTTTTCTTAACTTTATAGTTTATATTATTAACTAAATACAACCAAACAAATAATTCATATTATTAAATAGTTATAAAAAACATTTTTCATTAATTTATATTATTAATAAATAAATATCAAATAAACAAAATAGAAAATGTTTAATAAACTAGATATATATAAAAAAATAAATTTGAAAGACCAAATATAAGATGTAAAAGTTTAACTCTAAACTTGGGAGTTATTTATAGAGTTTATGAATGTATAATCCCAAATTTAGAGTTTACTATACATAACTTAATATTTAAAAAAAATAACTTCTTGATAAAAAATCACATTTTTCATAAAAATATAAACAACTTTGCAAGTTTGCATAATAGAGTCTCACATTTAGCGTGAATTCTTATTTTTTATAAAATCATATATTTTTTTTAAATACTAAAGTTTTTAATTATATAGTGCTAATTTTTAATTTTTTTTTAACGGTCATGTTATTATTTGTTTGGAATTAAATCGAGAACCTCCTGATTAGAAAACTCTAAATTACACATCTTGTTAGCCAAATGTGGTAGCTAGAACTCTTAATTAATTCATGGATTTGCCGGTGCTTTGACTCAAATATTCCTTTAAATTAGACCCTTCATATCACAATCCTAGTGTTTTTTTTTCGCCACAAAGTATGACAAGATGTATGCTGGTATACTATTTAGTGTAACATTGGCATGAAGCAACTTTACACCTAAAACAGTGTAAAAATATAGATTTTAATGTTGAATTTAAGATACCTTAAGCATTTTATTGGTAACATGTTGGTAAAGAAATCCAAATAAGTTGTTATTATATGCTTATTTCATAAATAAAAAATAATGTCCTATTATCCTTGCAACTTACAAGCAAGTCTCAAATGATTAAAAACCCAATTGAGCAAATTTCGCAACAACAAAGGTTTTAATACACCAAACTCACAAAACCACCTTAAAATCAGTGATCAAACACCTAAACCACAAATTTAAAAACTTCTAGGTGTCATAAAACACACACACACATACACAAATCTATTATCATTTATCATTCATATACATCATTCCCCCCTAATAAACAACAAACCCAAAAGCAATAAAAAATTATTTTTCACCTCATTTCACGTTCTTCACCTTTAACCATTTCTGAAAAAACCCTACTCATCGAAACCCCAGCAAAATCCCCCACACTTCCCTCACTAAACACATTACTACTAACACAATCATTTTCCACTTTAGGCGAATTTACTACACTACCCTCCAACTGAAGGGCACATTCAAGGTTCCAAAGTACATCCCCCATTGTAGGCCTATCCACCCCTTGTTCTGCTATACATTTCTCCCCTATCTCCACATACTTCTTCACAGACTCCATCTTCATCTTCCCAACAAGAAACGGGTCAAATACCTTCTCCAATTCGCCCCGTTTTCTCATCTCATTAACCCACTCAACCAAACTCACCATTCCCCGAGGCCTAGACGGGTCAATCACGGGTCGCCCACATAAAATCTCAAACATCACAACCCCGAACGAATACACATCCGATTTTTCAGTCAATTGCTGACGTGTCATATACTCCGGATCCAAATACCCGAAACTACCCTTCACCGCTGTACTCACATGAGTTTGGTCAACTGCGGGGCCCGTTTTCGATAGCCCAAAGTCCGCAACCTTAGCCATCATATTCTCATCCAGTAGAATATTTGCGGATTTCACGTCTCGATGAATTATAGCTAAATGAGAACTCGTGTGAAGATAGTGGAGCCCACGGGCCGACCCAATTGAGATCTCTAACCGTTGTTTCCACTTCAATTTGGGTAGATCCGACCCGTATAGATGGTTTTTTAAAGTCCCGTTTTCCATATACTCGTATATGATAATTAACTCGTTTTTTTCATCACAATATCCGATTAAAGATACCAAATGTCGATGTCGGAATTGGGATAACATTTCAACTTCGGTTTGGAATTCGGATACCCCTTGAAGTGATTGTGGGGCCCCTCTTTTAACAGCTACAATTGTCCCATCGGAAAGTATTCCTTTGTAAACTTTCCCGAAACCACCGATTCCGATTACTAAACTCTCGCTAAACTTATCCGTAGCTTCTAGAACCGCTCCTAGCGGGAATCGGTATCCGATTTTCGACCTTGAGAAAAGGGTATTTTCGTCATTTGTCTTATGAACATTCGCACTCAAGTACTCTTCATTTCGTTTACGTCTATTTCTTCTTGTGATTACAAAGAACACACAACACAAAAGAATCAAAACACACAACCCGCCACTAGAGACAACAACAATCACCAAGATTTTCGAATTTGAATTTGAGTTTGACGAATTTACCCCTGTCCCACCTTCATCAAGATTCCCATTGGAGTTACTAATTTTCAAGATTTCAAGCCCGTTTAGAATGCTTTCCGGGTATGCCCCAAAAGCAAGAGATGTCCCTACACTTACATTTAGGATTCCATTCCCGTTTAGCTTTGTGATAGCGTCTAAATAAAAAGGGGCACCCCAGATGTTTGACATTTGGTCACCAAGTTTAAGATCTTTAGCAACTGACATGGAGTTTAAGTAGATGTTGAGGATAAGTTCTGAAGGTGGACGTTCGATTATATCACAGAAATGAAATCGGACTAAATAGGAAAAACCCGGGTCGACATTGAAAGACCAAGTGTTGTTAAGAAGAGCACCAGGGTCAGATTCGGTATCAAGTTTAGTCGCAGTTCCATAGACAGATAAAGGAGCGATATCGAAAGCTGGACTTCCTGATGTGTAGTTTACAGCGCTTATATTTGAGACGAATCGAACAAGATTGTTGTGTTTCATGAAGGTTCCATCTGGATTCCATAGTCGCCATAAGGTGTCGTTATCAGGGGAGACTGTTTGATTTCCCATGTTAACCCTAGCGACTGTTTGTAGTGCTTGCGTCATCAGATTGGGGTGGGTATGTGGAAGCTCTACAGCTCGGGCTGTGATGGGGATGAGTTCGTTTGGGTGGGAGATGACTTCTAGGGCATTTAGGAACGCGAATGAATTGGGGGAAGGGGTGAATGTGAGAGTAAGTTCATCGGAAGTGATGTTTATGGAGAATTCTTTAACGACAGGGGTATTATCGGGTTGGAAGTTTTTCAGGAGAGTGAAACCGTGGGCGGAGACGGAGAATCTAGCGGTGGTTAGGTTGTAGGCTCCGGCGTCTAACGGAAATGGGAAGAAATAGAGGCGGATGAAATGGCGGCCGTGTTGGTTAATGGAGAAGGTGTAATTTGATGTTTTGTTGACGATTCTAGCGGTTGTGTATAGTGATGATCCGTAGGTGGATGAAATGGGTTGGGAATTTGATGTGTTTACAGATTCTTGTTCTGGGTTTGAAAGGAAATGGTGATCGGAATCGGAAGTATCCGCTAAGAAAACCCTATCGCGTATGGAGCTGTTCGTGGGTGATCCACAATCTAGCAGATAGTTGTCTATAGGGTCGAACTGGAAGGAGCATTTTATCAAACACATGGTGAACATGACCCATATAAGCAATCTAAATTTGCGAAATTCCATACTGCAACTACCTTAATCAGACCAATTAAGTGAAAATAAACAATACCCAATAAAAGAATCAAAGAATATCAATAACCAACCTCCAGTTGCTACATCAGCTGATCATCACCGGAGATAATAAATAGCCAGAAACCCAAAATTCGAATTTTGTTTGATGGAAGAAGGAAGAAGGAAGAAGGAAGGACTCAGATCACTCCACAGAAACCCCAACCACTTGCTACTTATCTGTTTGAAAATATGGCAATCAATGTACTTTTTTTCGTGGTCAGACGTTCACACAAAACGTTCTTAATTCAAGAAAGTCCAGAGGATTATGCGAAAATACGAAAAAGGTAAATAGATGAAGAGAGAGTCAATGGTCCTGTGATGTTAACGCATCAAAATGATAAATCGTAAATCAGAATTACAAATTGGGAAAGTATAGAGGAGGACAGCTATATAATTGACGGAAGGGGGGCTCACCAATCCTGCAATTCATGTGGAAACCAGCAGACAAGTTGTTGGTGACATTACGATCGTAATCCGGAGGAAGTTTCCCCCACAAAATATTGGTGTGAATTTAAAAGAAAAATGGAAGCAAAATCATGAGCAAATCATACTACGATTTGAAAATATTTGGAAGCTTGTCGGATAGTAGCAGCAAAAGTTGGCCAAAGCGCGTTTTAGGGCAACAACCGTGACCCCAGTGGTTGACTAAACGCCATAATCTTTGTTATCTTTTTAGCTTTTTGCTTTATTAAGATTCCATAATTGGACCTTTTTAGGTATATTTATTTTCTAGTTTTGTAATTTTCAAATTTAGAGGATGAGGACAAAAATCTAAAGTATGTTAATAAAATATTATTTAGTGGAGAACCATTAAATTTTCAATTTTTCCTTATACTTCTTTATTATTATTATTAGTGAACATTATTACAAATATTATTATGAATTTTAGGAATATAATTATGTATCATTATAAAGTTCATTTATAATATAAGAACTTTATAATATAGCTTACATTTTATTTTATTATTAAGTATAAATAATGATTAATATGTATTATAAAGGTTGTTTGTTTTTACCAAGTAATGAATTAAAGTTTTTTAAAATTTTATTTCTTATTTCTTATCTTGTTCTTTAACTTAGCTTCATATTTGATAATACGTTATCCGCATGACTCTATAATAGAGCTCCAACTTTTTATCGTTATATTTTCATATATGTAAATTTTATAAGTTCACATATATAATGCTCACAAGTTATTTTATGGAATTTTCGAACTAATAATTTTCTAAGATAGAAGTTTCTATTTTGATTAGTATTTTCACTATGGTAAATCTTAGTAAACTTGAGTTTATGTCTGTTGACATCAATTGAAATAATTATTTATTATGGATCCTTAATGTTGAAATCCACATTGATGCTATGAGACCATAGAAACTGAAAAATACATTAAATGACGCATCAAACCAAGATAAGTCTAAGGCGCTAATTTTCCTTGGTCATCATCTTGATAAAGGATTGAAAGTCAAATACCTCATTGTCAAAGATCCAACTGATCTTTGGAATAATCTCAATGAGAGGTATTGTAACATGTATGGTTCTTCCGAATTTAATTCATTAAATATAAGTTTTAGGATTTTGGTTTGGTCACGTCTTGGTAATGGAATAACCATGACGTGGTAGCCCGGTTCAGAAAGAGCGCATATGCGAACCACCATGACGTGGCAAGGCCTTAGCTACGACGTGGTGGCGATTGGGGTTCAAAACACTAGATTCCTAGATTAGAGCCCTATTTAAAGGGACTAACTCCTAGGGCTGCCTCATTTGGAAGCATCCATCCTCTAAAATTGATGACCACCGAAACCCTAGCCTATTTGTGTGTGAAGCCACCTTTGTGAATCTTGAAGGAAGAAGGTGTCCATCTTGGTGGTTTGTAAGCTTGGTTCCAACTTAGATCCAACATCTTCATCTTATTTTAGATGTCGTGGAGGTATAAAGCCTCAACCTTGATCATTGCAACTCTAGATTTTGTTTTAGGTTATTTTATGAGCTTTTTGGTCCTAATCTTATTGTCCTTGGAGTTTGAGTGAACTCCACAGCCTCTGAGTGCATTATTTAGCTTTTAGACCATGGTGCTGGTTGGAAAGTGGTTTTACATGACATAGTTTGGTGTCCATGCAATTGGTGCAACCATTAAGAGCTTAAGATTTGAGATCTTGACTTATTAGAATGTCTTAATGGATAAAGTTGGAAACTTTATCCATCAAGATCTTGAGGAGGTTCAGATATGAGTTTTAGAACTCTTAGGGTAAAGGGGGTAAAAGCTTAATCCATTAAGTTGTTTTTTGTTGAGTTGTCGCGGTTGTTTTGTCATGAAGCTGCCATGATGTGGAGGTCGACTCGGGTGACTTTAACCGTTGACTTTTTGACGCGGTTGGATTTTAGTCAAATGGCTAGCTTAGTGTAACACTCCAATCCAGGTATTCCATTGTCTATATTCAAGTATTTTCATTTTGGTAAAAAGGGCCCTTCCGTACGTTGGGCGTACATTTGGAACGCTTAGCCTACATGATAGTTGCGCATCGGGTGGCTGAGGCTCGTACGTTGGGCGTACGAGTAGGTACGCGGGGCGTACGTGGCAAGTGGCTAAAACTTTAATTTCTTGACTTGCACCCTATTTAAACAACCTTATATCATTTGGACCAAACCCTAATCAGCCTCCATAGCCTCATTTCGTCCCTTAACCCTAGATTTTCATGAGATTGTGATCCTTGACCTTAAAGAGTGTTTTGGTGGCCATTTTAGAGAGCATTAAAGAAGGGGAAGGTGATGATCAAGTCTTGGGTGTCATTGACCTTCTAGATCCTACGTCTAGTTCATCTTTAGGAACTTCTGGAGGTAAAAATCCATAACATTGTCATCTATTTTGTTATTTTGAGCTAGGGTTTTGTTATGAAGTCCCTTTTTTGGTTATTTGTTCCCTCTCTTATGAGTTGAGCAACTCCAGAGACTAGGATTGTTAGATCTAAGCTCTTTGAGCATGTTTGATGCATAAAGGTGCAATCTTGAAGGTTGTTTTGAGGTCATGCATGAGTTTGAGGTCTTAAATGAGGTTAAAATGGGAAGAATGAAGTATTAGGGTCCCTTATGGAATGCAAGGGCATAAAGTTGCCAACTTTATGCCCTAGGACATCTTAATGGACTCATATCTGAAGTTTGACATTGAAATCCCAAGTATTAAGCACTTAATGGTTGTTGGTGCATATCTTGCTTATATGTCGGGTGTAATATCATGTACACTGCATGTAGAACCAAGGGACTCAATATGCTAAATGTACTGGAGTGGTACATTGGGTGTACACACCTCAGATGGGTTTTGGGGTTCGTGTGGGCTTGTGAGCTTATTGGGCCTTATTATGTTTTGGGTCTAGTCTCATTTAGAGTTAGTAGTATGTTATTCTGTTTTGGACCATAGTTGTATTGGTTGGGCCTTGTTGGGCCATGTGGCCCATTAATAGATTTTATCTTGGATCCTAGGCTCATTAGTAAAGGAAAGACTTTGGGCCACCATGGAAGGACTTAGGCTTAAGTGTTTGGACTCTTTGACTAGGTTGAATTATAATCCTCATTTAGGGTTACTGTATCATTGTTTAGTGTAAGGTTTTGGACTGATATGCGAGTAGCTATTGTGTTCATCAGATTGAGGTGAGTCTTCTCACTACACCCATGGGTCGAAGGCACCAATGTCGGCCTATTATTTGCTATGAGATGTTTAGTAATTGAGTATGCAATGGTTTGCTAATTGACATATGTGTAGACTTATGTGATGATCATGGGGGATCCCATAACACTTGGCAAGACCATGGGGTAGCCCATGACATTCCAAATGAAGACCATGGAGGGAGTCTATGGAAAACTTATATATGTGTGCATGGAAATATGTGGTTATGTTTTTCATGTGGTTTTGAGGAACTCACTAACGTATGCTTACAGTTTTGTTGGGTGTTTCAAGTACTTCTGGTTCTAAGGGCAAGGGCCCGGCTTGATGGCGCAGCGTGCACTCTGCAGTATTTCCGCACTTAGTATTTGGATACTCTGATCTTTTAGACAATGTGGTTGTAACACCCCGAGATTCAGGTACATTTATTTCACCCTTATTCTTTGTCAATTGGTCATGATTGGTCCTTGAGTGGAGGAAGCCTTGCAAGTGAGTACGCTGGGCGTACCAGAGGGGTACGCTGAGCGTACTCATGCTCTTATTTTGGACGCGGAGTAGCTAGGTACGACGGGCGTACCCATAGTTACGCCGAGTGTACCCGACCCAGATGCAAAACCCTAATAAGACTTGTGCACTATTTAAAGGATGCTAAGGCTCATTTCTCAGCCTCCATATCAGTGAGTAAAACCCTAAGAGAGAGCCTTCCATCGTCTTTAGTGAGTGTGTGTGTTCTTGGAGCTAATAGTGCCTTGGTGTGTTATTAAAGAAGGAAGAAAGGAGCTTGTGGAGACTAAAAGCTTGAAGTGTAAGTTTGGATCTGAGATCTACAAAGAAAAGAGCTGCATTTAGAGGTATAAAGTTCAAAACTTTCCTCTTCTTTTTTTGGTTGTTGTTGCATGTGCCATTTCTAGGGTTAAAAACCCCAAAGGTGGAGACTTTATGAGTGTAAGGTGCTCCATGGTCCGAGATCTGTCCCTTTTCAGTAGTATTTGTGGTCTAGATCCATAAAGTCCCCATCTTGGTTGTTGATATGAGGCCATGCTTGAGTTCTATGCTTTCTAGGGTTAGAGAATGAAATGTTTTGGGTGCTAGTGACTTATTCAGCCATGAAAGGGCTTAAAGTCATCGACTTTATGGTTTTGGAGGCTTAGAAATGGTCAGATCTAAAAGTTGGACGTGGGTCTTAACTTTTTAAGACCCCAAGAGCTGAAGGACAGAAACTGGGTATTACGTCGGGTGTAATTCCAGTACACGCAGCGTAGGGAGTGGCGCACCCCGATCCTCTGAAGTTATCGGT